AGACCCTTCTGCTGGAGCCTGCGTCTTCTGAACACTGTGGGACACAGGTGCCCCTCGCTGATCGTTACTGAGTGTGTTGGACACTCCCAGACAGAGGCAGAGCGGGACAAAGACAGGCCCCGGGCCCGGGAGACAGACGGTGAGCAGAGGGGTCCTTGATAAAGGCCAAGGTGGAGGCTGAGCTGAGGGCGGGAAGAAACAAGCAGGGAGGGGTCACGCGGCACGTGGAGGTGGCCCTGCGGCGGGGGGGACACAGGAGGCCCAGGTTACCCCAGGCCACCACACCCGACCTCCGATGGGACTCAGGTTCTACTCCAGGCGGAAGGAAGCAAACGGCCGGCAATAAATGGCAAACGTTCCGTGACAAGCCATTTATTTATTTATATTTATTTTTTTTGAGGTGGAGTCTTGGTTTGTTGCCCAGGCTGGAGTGCAGTGGTGCGATCTTGGCTCACTGCAAACTCCGCCTCCCGGGTTCAAGCAATTCTCAGGCCTCCGCCTCCAGAGTAGCTGGGACTACAGGCACCTGTCACCACAGCCGGCTAATGTTTGTATTTTTAGTAGAGACGGGTTTCACCATTTTGGTCTCAAACTGTTGACCTCAGGTGACCTGCCTGCCTCAGCCACCCAAAGTGCTGCGATTACAGGCACGAGCCACCGCACCTGGCCCTGTGACAAGCCTTTTGAATGCTTATTGTAGAGACAAGAAATGGGAGTCTGGCTCCGTTTAGTAAAAACGGATGATTTTTCTAAACGACACCACAGGACGACCTGTTGACAGGACTTCAAGGCGTGTTTTTGTACGTCATTGGAAACGTCACAAATGTAGCAGCTGAACCTGAAAGGCAGGACTCTGCACAGCCTGCAAAACAGAGCCACGTCCTTCAGAGGCGCGGCTGCATGGAAGGGGCCGGCCCTCGGCCCTGGACCCGCTGCAGAGGGCTCAAGGCCTTCACACGCGGGCGGGGCACGTTCGTGGCTCCACGCGTTCATTCCGCCCCTCCCCTCTGTGTTCTGTTCTGCTGTTTGCTTCTGAGACATGAACGTGTACAAAGCCTGACACGTCAAAGCCGAGGCCTAACTAGCTGCTGTGGACACAGCCGGACACACCAAATAAAATGGAGGATCCGAGCCTCCTCCCAGGAGGGCCAGGGCTGTGGCCAGGGAGGACACCGGAAGCGGGGAAGCCAGGAGCGCAGGTGGGCGCGGGAGGCTGGGAGGCCACTGAGCGGAGCCCCGGCCACAGGAGGGAAGGGCGCGGGGCACAGGCTGAGGGCTGGAGGGGCTGACTGCGTCTTCCGTGGGAGGCAGCAGCGACCCCTCTCCCTGCTGAAAAACAAGAAAAGTATCTTCTTCCGATGTTAAGCACATGCTCTGTACAAACCAAGGAGGAAATAAAAAGTACTCCTGACCGTCAGCTGCAAGTCTTCCTAGCTTGCGGGAATACAACTGATGAACATTTCTTTCTTTCTTCTTATTCTTTCAAATCATATCCGTGCCAGGACCCACAGACAAATTCCTTTAATATCCCTATTTCCTGGCTGTGAAATGAAATCTGGGTTTGTGAAGACCCAGAAACCTGCAGTTTTCCACCGGAAAGTTTACTGCAGTCAGCAGGAAGGGACGGCCCCACACAGGCATCCTTGAAAATGCTAGGTGTCTATCCAGCCGAGTCCTAGGACACAAGCAGCCCGAGGAGGTGTGCAGGCCGCTCTGATATCCACCTTCACAGATCTTTCCTCGAGGGGTCCCGCAGTGACCACTCGGGGACAGTGAGGAGGGAAGTCACAGAGCGCGTCCCCGAAAGGTGGTTTCACTGGGAGGTAGATGTGGCAATGGGGGGAGCTTGCTACTGCAGTAAAGCGCCCCTGTGAACGCAAGAACCCCTGAAAGCCGAGGCTGTTCCCTGGGGACGCCCTCCCATCCTCTAGGCAGTACTTCCCGGCATCGGTGCGATGACACTCTGGGTTAAGTCGTCCGAGAATGTGTCATCTGAGCGGACATGAGAAGGAGGCTGGAGGCTGGTTCTCAAGGAGAACCACGAGGGCCAGCGTCCCCCACAGAGAAGCAGATGGAGCCATTTTCAGGCAGGAAGCCCCGGTGAGTGTGGGGCCTGACGGCCGCTTTCTCCTCCCTGTCCCGTCTCCTGTTGGGTGTGAGGTCTGGTGGCCACTTTCTTCCTCCCTGTCCCGTCTCCGTCTTGTGGCCACGTCACTGAATCCCAGGGGGATTTCACCGCCATGTTGTGTCCCACGGAATCACATCTTTTCCTAGGGTCACATCGCAGCCTGTCATTGTTTACATGTTAGCTATAAAAAGACATCACGTTTTGAAGTCTGGAAAATGTGTTTTGCTGGGACAGCGGCTCGGCCCGACCCACAGTGCTCCCCACCCTGCTGGCTGTCCAACGCTTCGCAGACTTGTGGGGGGACCCTGGAAAAGGGAAAAGGGGAGGTCTGACCTGGCCTCTGCCCGCAAAGGCTCCTACAGACTTGCCAGGGAACAGGACTGAGGAATGTCTCATACACCTAAGGGGGGAGAGGCCTCGGGGCAGGGAGTGGGTGGCCAGCTGTGGACCTGGAGAACGACAGGGCCAGGGGCTCTGAAATGACACCGTGGCATGGAACTCTGCCAGAGGCAATCGGACCAACCAGCTGGGTCCAGACAAACCAACAGAAAAAACAAGCGAAAAACATCCAGCGGGAGGAGGAGAGGAAAGAGAGGAGAAACCTACAGACTGCATGAGATGAAGGGGCTAATCACTCAGCTGCCACATGGCCTCTTCTCTGGATCCTGATTTAAATAAAAGCCAAAAAGAGACCGTGACCCTCAGGGAAACGTGACCCTGACCAGGCTGATACTCAGAAATACTGACGAGCTATTGTTTTCAATGCCTGATAACGCAGCTGGTTATGTTTCCAAACAAAGCGTCCCCATCGTTCAGTGTGGATCTTTGGGAGATCAGCACGGGCATATTGACAGTTGTATCTGTACGTCATATGGGATTTGTTCCGGTGGAGCCTGGGGGGGAAGGCGGTGTCAGTGCAGACGGCTGAGATGAGTCGTGGAGTGATGGCTTCCGAAAGGGCTGGCGGTGCGCAGGCCCATTGTCTCAGTTCGCCTTTGTGGATGACTGATATTCCCCATACCTCGACCATGGAGTCGCTGTTGGAGGCGGACAGCAGCGTATTCCAGGGAGGAGGTGTGTGGGAGAAGCTCCTGGGAGAAGGCCGGTCCGAGGGGCACGGGGCCTGTGGAGAAGGCGCAGCTGGAGGAGTGGGGGGAACGTGGAGGGGCTGGAGGCAGGGGACCCTGGAGCAAAACCCGGAGGCTGTGACAGCGTCCTGAAGGTCCTGCAGTTGCCTCTCCACCCCAGGCACAGACGAAAACAAGAGAGCCGTGTGTCTGTGACATGAGGAGACAGGGCAGAGTGAACCCTGATTCTAAATACCCTGCTTCTCTAAACAAGCAGACACAACTGTTACCCTGGGATATGATGAGGGTTTGCCAACAGCAAACAAAATATCAGCCTCTTCCATTGCTGTAAAATAACATTTTATGCAACTGCCATTTTATCTCGGAATAAATCTGCCTGCAAAGGCAATGTGGTTAGCACCTCCTTTCAAATCAGAGCTGCTGAGACGCGGATGCTGGAGCCGACGACGATGGTGCCAGTGGAAGCATTTGCCACCACGGCTCCCAGAAAGACTCATGGTGCTTGTTGGCCCCGCCCCGTTAGCTGACTCGCTGTCAGCTCAGCCGCCAACGGCCCATTACTCCTGGAAGACGTCTCTGACCTGATGCGCGGCCCAGTCGCCGCACTAGGCATGCAGGAGTGATCTGGGATTTAGAACATGCATGCCAAGTACATGCATGTACGTTTTGTTAACAGCGCCATCGGCTGACAGAAGTTACTCAGCAGCATCCTCAGCAGCAGCGTGTGCCTCCCAGAGGGCCTCCCCAGTCAACCCAGGGATGCTTCAATTCAGAGGCAGAGAAGGAAATCCATGTAAAATAGAGAATTCTGCAATATGCTAGCTCTAGGAGTCTACCTTCTTTAATTTGTTTTTGCCTTTGGTAAATTCACTAAATCCACACCCCAGAGACACAGAGGCTTTTTACAGCCTAAAGAGGCTGTGGTCAGGTGCAGGGCGTGAACTCCCAAATGTCACAGGCCCATTTCCATGAGGCCTGACCGTCAGCTTTTGCGTGGAAACCGTGCATACTGGCTAGTCTATGTTTGTTGTGGTTGTTAGACCTTCCAGCCTTAGAGGCATTTAAAAAATGGCCCACTGTGCTTAGAGGAGTAGTTCCAAGGAGGAACTGGGATCTGCAGAGGCTCCCAGAGTGAGCCAGAGTCACGCAGGACAGCTGCCCACAGACGGCTCACCATCCCTGCAGGCCTGCACACAAGGCCATGGCCTGTGGTCAACCCTCAAGTCTACCAGCAAATGATGGATAGAGAAGATGCGGCACACACACGGGATGCTACTCAGCCTGTCAAAGAAGGAAACCTGCCATTCTCCACAACATGGATGAGCCGGGAGACACCGTGGAAAACAAGCCGGATGAGCCGGGCACACACAGAGGCCACCTGGTGGCTCTCAAGGGTGGTATCTGAAACCACTGAACTCACAGAAGCGGGGAGTAGAACCGTGCTCACCGGAGGGATTGGGGACGGGGAGGAATCGGGAGATGTTGGTGAAAGGACAAAATTCCAGCAAGGAAGGGCCGGCTCAGGAGTCCGACTGGCCAGCACCACAGCTACAGTTAACCCTGAACCCTGTACTTGGAAATCACCCGGAGTGGGCTTCAAGTGTTCGCACCACAACAGATGGTGTACCTAAGGCCATGGATATGTGAGCCGCTCAGTGGAGCCGTCCCAGAGTATGTAGTAACCCACAGCAGCCCGTGGCACTCCCCACACTTACGTGGCTCTTACCTGTCAGTTAGAAAGGGAATAGTGACCCCAGCACCTGCTGTTCCCGGACTCTGCTTACCTGCAGGTAGTGGCACGGCCTCAGGGCGGGCTTGGCGTCCTGGTGCAGCAGCGGCTTGTCCAGGTTCAGCGAGCTCTTGCGGTAGGCCTCCTTGGCCTGGCTGACCGTCAGCGTGGACCAGGAGCTGCGCTTCAGGTACTTGGCGTCCGGCGTCAGCGCCAGCCCCTCGCAGGCCGAGCATTTGACGTCGCTGTTGCTCTTGGAGGTCTTGAGTGAGAGGTCCCCGAAGGGGCTCTGCAGGGCGTCGGGGTAGCCGTGGGCCGCGGGGCCCAGGTGGTGCCGGTTGAGCACGCTGGGCGGCCGGTAGGTGCTGTCGCTGTCCAGGTTGTCGTCCGAGCTCCACCAGCTGCTCGTGCCGGGCCGCGGCTTGCCCTCCGGCTTGCGCTCCTTGCTCCTGCTCCGCTTGCCGTGCTTGGCGTGGTGGCCGTGGTGCGGGTCGTCGGCGCGGCCGTCCGCCTTGGCCCCGTTGGCGTTGCCCTTGGAGGAGCCCTCCAGCGAGTGCGACTTGGTGAAGAGCTTCTGCACCGAGTGCACCAGGTGGCGGATGCGCCCCGGGCTCTCGCTGCGCTGCTCGGCCGCCGCGGACGCGCGCTGGTACTGCAGCGTGTGGAAGCCGTCCCGGTGCAGCGGCAGCTGCTTCTCGAACTGGTCCAGCAGGTTGGCGGGGATGCGGTTGATCTTGGCGCCCGCGTGCGGCGCGGCGCAGTCGTCGCGCGCGTCGTAGTGCGAGCTGTAGTGCATGCGCGGGAACGTGCTGCTGGACACGTGGTCGCCCAGCGCCACCGGCATCAAGACGCACTCCGAGTGCACCGAGCTGCGCGGCGAGCAGCGGTGGCGGCCCCCGGGGCAGCTGTCCGCGGCGCTCAGCAGGTAGGGCGGCCGCGCCTCGGGCGCGTGGTGCAGGTGCTCGCAGTCCTCGGGGGGCGCCAGGCCGCACGTGTGCCCGGGGCACAGCGGTGGCTGCGTCCGGCTTCCGGAGAGGCCCTTCATGCTCCTGGGCGCCGGGGAGTAGCGCTCCTCATTGAAGTGCTGCGTGGGCGACCATGAGTACTGCGGGTCTGCGGGGAAACACAGAAACGTCACTCAGCACCCGGGAGCGGGAGCGCGGGCGGGGACCCCCGGGTGCGAGCAGGTGGAACATGTGACCCCCCCCACCGTGGGCTGGGTTTCCGGGATGGCCAGTGTCCATTTCTGGCCTGGGCACTCGAGAGGGCAGTTCGCTCGTTTTTCTGAGACCCACTCTCGCTGTCGCCCAGGCCGGAGTGCAGTGGCACATCAGCTCACTGCAACCGCTGCCTTCCGGGTTCGAGCGAGTCTCTTGCCTCAGCCTCCCGAGTAGCTGAGATTACAGGTATGTGCCACCACACCTGGCTCATTTTGTGTTTTTAGTAGAGATGGGGTTTTGCCATGTTGGTCAGGATGGTTTCAAACGCCTGACCTCAGGTGATCCGCCCACCTCATCCTCCCAAAGTGCTGGGATTACAGGTACCCGTCACCATGCCCGACTAATTTTGTTTTTTTTTGTTTGTTGTTGTGAGACAGAGTCTCACCTTGTCTCCCAGGCTGGAGCGCAGTGGCATAATCTTGGCTCACTGCAACCTCCGTCTCCCGGGTTCAAGCAATTCTCCTGCCTCAGCCTCCCGAGTAGCTGGGATTATAGTGCACACCACCATGCCCAGCTAATTTTGTATTTTTAATAGAGACGAAGTTTTGCCATGTTGGTCAGGCTGGTTTCGAACTCCTGACCTCAGGTGATCCACCGCCTCAGCCTCCCAAATTGCTGGGATTACAGGCGTTAGCCATCGTGCCTGGCCGCGCAGTTGTTTTTATATCACAAAGTGTGAGGAGCGGAGAGGAAACTCTGGCGTTCCCAAATGGCTAATGACCAAGAGTTAGCACCTAGTAGATCCAACAGGTCTCTTGACAGCCGGATTTTGTGGTATTAAAGGAAATTAACAATTTGAGGGGAAGGCATAGTTGTATTTCATTTAGATTTCCGTTTTGTGGTACAGCTAAAGTTTTAAAAACAGCATCTGGTACTTGATGGGTGATATTGTCTAGTAAGCTCACGCATCACACACATGCATGTATTAATTGTGAAACTGTTTGTTCAAACCACATCCTCACAGGCCAGTGAGGACGGGAGGGGCTTTCTCGAGGCCCCCTCTTTGTGGGGCAGCTGTGTTTCCATCCCCAGAGGCCAGGCTCTGTCCCTTCCTACCCGGCTCCTCCCTGTGCCCTTCTGCAGCCTGGAGGACGGAGGCTATGGCTACAACACAGCATGGCCTGTCTTATGGCCACTGAGCCGCCCAGGGGCAGGTACCTTGCTCTTTGCTGTCCCTGGGAAGACAGCTGATTGCCAGGGTGACCCACAGAGAAGGAGGATCTGACAGCTCCCGGCCTGTGGCTCCCCTGGTCTCTGCACCCACACCTTCCTCCTCCTGGCGGGCGCCCCTCAACCCCACACCTGCCTCCATCTCAGTCCCCTCCTGCTTGACACCAGGACCATCATGATGGCCTCCTCCTCTGTCCCTCTCTTCCCCTACCTCCACCCAGACACAGTTGCCCCCAACAAATGCACCCCTGCCCATCCACCAACTTTCAGGTGAGCCTTGTCTCGTCGGCCTGTTACTCAAGGCCATGTCTAGGACAGCGAGCTCCCTGCAGGCACAGCCACATGCCATGGGCCACCCCAGAGCAGTGCCAGCCCCAGACCAGTGCCAGCCCCAGACCAGACAACCGAGCTCTGTGACAACCGGAGGAGCCAACGAGCCTCCCTCTGCCCCATGGTCTGCGCATCCCTCTGAGTCTGCTGGGCCTTAACCGCACCCAGTTGCCATCATTTCTAGATGTCACTGCCCGGGTTCTGCTGGCCTCTGCTCCCAGGCCTGGACACAGTCCTGTATTGACTCCAAGATCCAGCTCCACACCGCTGGGCTTTGCTGTGTGCTGTCCTCGAGGCCAAAGACCCAGACAGGAGTTAGAAGTGGCCTCCTTGAGGGGCCGAGCGTGGCCATCTCCTCAGGAAGGAAATGATCCCCCACACGTTTGTCCAACACCCCCCGCCCTGGGCCACCTCCAAGCCTCAGATCCCACAACGATTTCCTGCCTGCCCGCTCCCCCATCGCCATGAGCGTCTCTCCTCCTTGTTCCTCTCTCACCGCCACCCGCCACGGCCTGAGATGCACCCCTACCTGCAGTCCCGTGGTGAGTCCGGCACTCGGAGAGCCGCCCACTCTGACTCCCAGAGCAACATGGACATCAGGGAAAGCAAGCAGAGAGATGCGGAGTGAGGCTTTTCCCATCAGGCCCAACACCAACCCTCCAGGTAACCAAGGCAAGAAAAAACACATACCAGGCTGAGAACGTTTACCAAGTGACTAGTCCTAGGTATGGGCTTACAACGTCCCCAGTTTCAATTTCAGGATCCAGGGCTGCCAGCCGTCCAGGCCAGCATGGCTATGAAAACATGGGATAAGGAAAGGATGTGATTTCCTGGGTCCCTGGGAAATCAGGGACCAGCTTCTCACACCCAGGAGTGAATGCAGAAGAAGGGAATGGAAAGATTTCCCAAGGGGTCCCCAGAGACTGACAGCAAGGTGTGGGGCTGTTTCTCCCACGGAGGGCAGCAGAGGGATCTCTCCTGCGTCTTCTCACAGTAAACAGCCTCCAGTTCAAGAATAAACAGATCCTTTAACTTCAAAGCGAGGCTCGCTGTGTTATATTTCAGGTGCCTACGCCGTCTCGCAGGAGCGCCTACGCGGTAACGGCCAGCGACGTCTTCCTTTCTCAAATAGTTAAATTATAACGAGAGCACTTTAATATATTGGGGGACTATTTAGATATTATTTTAATATAATTAAAAGCAAGTTTTCAAATGAAATTCAATATTCAACTGCTAAATAGCAAAACGATGTGCTGTAATCCAGACTTTACAGCAGCATAAAGTTGTCATCCTGTTGTCTTTTGCTTTGTTTTTCCATTAACATGTAATTTAATACAATTCTAATCTCCCTTCATATTAAAAAGCGAGCCCATTAATGCCCCACTCACGTATCCTATTTCTGCCCAATGTTTAGCCTAGAAGCTATGTTATGAATGTGGCTCCTTAAAAGAACAGCATAAAAGATCAAATTTAACCGAAATGAATTAAATTTGATTATGCCACATGTCGATAGCACATTCTCACTTCCACTGTACAGGACTGAATTTCCTGATGGATGCATGGAAACATACATTAAAATGTTATCACAACAATGACAATAGCAACGTGCTGTAAACAATGGCAACACTAGACAGTGTAATGAGCACCGCACTAGGATTTCAGTTTTTTTAGGTCTGCACAATGTATAATAAATACTTAATGGCTGGTAAATTCTTTTTGTGAAAATGAGGTAGCAAACACAAAATGCAGAAAGCATCTTGGTTTCCTAACTTCCAGCTTTTCACGACACCATTTTTGTCATTAAGCAAGAGAAAACAGCAATTACAGTCATTATTCATGAATAGATAACTGTCTCCCCAAATTCAGAATAGAATGTAAATGCACATCTTACTGTTGCATTTATGGGACGTCTGGCCTACTCCTTCTAAAAAGCGTACTGTTAGTGTAAGAATAAAAATGAGAAGAATACAGCTAATGTTTACAGGGTACACAGTGTGCTTGTGAGATTCTTCCCGGGAGGTTCCCTCCAACCCTCCGGCAGCCTTCATGGAGGAGCACTTACCCTGCTGCAGGCTAAGGAAACTGAGGGTTGATGGGCAGCATTCCCACATCTCACACTTGGTCACTGATAGATGGGAAGGCAGTGTTTGGAGCCCTACCTTCCTGGGCAAACCCAGCGAGTAGCTCCAAACTCAGCAGTGACCTGAGCCAGCCAGCTACCTGCACACCTCAGTGATGATCCCAGCCCAGGGCTTTGGGGAAAGCATGTGGCTCGCCCAGGGCAGCTGCTGGTGTGAGAGAAGAGACGAGGAGGCCATGCCCAGGGGTCCTCCCCAGCTCTCCCCTGACTGCGGACAATGGGGTCCCCTTTCCCACGAGGAACACCAGTTCCTCCTCCCTGCCTGAAGCTCCTCAGATCCAGCCTTATCTGCCTGCATTTTCTTCAGCTTAGGAAAGGTAGGGGGAGACCCTCAGCATGTATCTTTCCTGCCCTCCACCCTAGAAAGAACTTCCCTGCTGGAAGTGGAAGCCGGATGAACTTAAAGCCAAAACCAAACAAACCAAGAAAAAACCAGAACAATAAACGCTTTAAAAAGTGGACCATGGAGTGAGTTACTAAATAAAAACTGACAAACTCTACCATAGCATATTTTTCCTGAAGTAGTTAAACATAAGCAACATTTCCTCAGAAACTGTAACTTGTTGAAAATGTTGAGACAGCCCTGGTGGTACTGGATTCATGCTGACTTTCTTGGCTATCCTGGTCTTTCCCTCTGCTCTGCTGTCCCTTCGTCAGTCCCCCATGTGACATTTGGTCATCCTGATTCCCTTAAAGCCCTCCAGACCCTGGAGCCAACCCTGCCATTGGTCAAAACATTGGTCAAACACAAGCACAAACATAGGCCAGTCAAAAACAGACACTGAACCTGTTCCTGTATTTATCGTATGATGGTATGAAAGGCACGGTCCATCATACTTATGATGATAAGGAACCTATCTGAAGCCACATTAAAAAAAAATTCCTTTCAGATTTTAACAAAAAGTATAAGATTTGAATGCTGACACCTGTAAAGCATTGTTGACCAGAAATGGTAACAATCTAGGTAAATGGAAAGACATCCCATATTCATGGATTGGAAGGCTTAATATGGTTAAGACAGAAAAAAAAAATCCCCAATTAATCTATAGATTGTATACAATCCCTATCAAATCCCAGTTGTTTACTGTTTAGAATTTCAAAAGCTGATCTTAAAATTCCTATAAACAGAAAAGCAAAACTATACCCAAAGCTAGCAGATGGAAAGAAATAAGATCAGCACAGAGATAAACAAAATAAAGAAAAGAAAAAAATAGAGAATCAATGAAGTCAAAATTAAAAAAAAAAATCAACAA